AACCCTAAACCCTAAAACCCCAAACATTGGAGAACTAAGGCTCCGAAAGGCAGTGAGGAGTCGCCTCGGGCCAAAGCAGCTGCGAGAGGTCCGGGGAGAAGAGGACCACCCGCTTGCGGCCGTGCACCTGGGGGTTTATAGGGTTTAGGGTTTTAGTGCTTTAGGGTTTAGGGGTTTAGGGGTTAGGGTTTTAGGGTGTATTTAGGGTTTAGGGTCTAGGGTTTTAGGGTTTAGGGGTTTAGGGTTTAGGGTTTTAGGGTGTATTTAGGGTTTAGGGTCTAGGGTTTTAGGGTTTGAGGGTTTAGGGTTTAGGGTTTAGGGATTTAGGGTTTTTGGGGGTCTAGGGTTCAGGGTTTGAGGGTTTAGGGTTTAGGGGTTTAGGGTTTAGGGTAATTTCTCCGTTCGGCTGTGACTCTTTGGGTCGAAGACCACGTCTCCTACTGCAGGACTTGATTCAAAACAGTCGCACCGAGGCCAATGATTAATGTGGGGCCTTAATAATTAGAATAGGGCTGTGAGGTTCCTTATTATAATATAATTATAGTAGAATATACCCTCAAACCCTATTCTGATTCTACAGGCCTGTTGTTGCAAGACTCTACACCCCGAGAGGCCCCGCCTGCTGCAGAACGGAACAGGGCTCGTCGTCCTGGTGTATCCCCGTGCGCGCGCCGCGGGGGCTGAGCCACAGCACCCCCTCCACCCAATCCTGAAGAGAAGCTTGGAAGCCCAAGCAAGGGATGTGCACGTCGGGGTTTCGGTAAGAGTTTAGGGTTTAGGGTTTAGGGTTGAGGGCTTAGGGTGACTCAATAGTATATACCTCAATGAGGAATCAGGGCCGAGCGATTAGGTTTTTGCTAAAGTACAGTACAGTAGTTCGTTGAACATGCGAGCTGTCAATGTTGCTCTTAAGAGACATTAGCATGTTGTGTGCAGCGTGCTTCGATCACCGGTACGCGTGATGTTGTCTCATAGAGTTCAGAAGAACGCGTTCCGTTGAGATTTTGCTACCAACTGGATATGCAATCCAACCAGGTCAGGGTGACCTGGGCTGTGATCTGGTGTCTCAAAGAACCTATGCACTACGATCGGTCTGGAGAGTCGCGTTTTCATGCTACTTAGTGTAGCTTGACGCGCGGTATCTTCCAAGGCTTTTAGCCTGAGGAGCCCCAAGCGGGCGAAACGCGTCATCGCCGCGGCTTGAGTGTGTAAGTTCTCTGAGAGTCTGATGACTCGGTTGGGGGTTCCCGAAAATAGGGAGACCCTAATATAGTACCCCAAATAGCAGGATCCCCATTATAAGGACCCCAAACCCTAAACCCTAAACCCTAAACCCTAAACCCTAAAACCCTGAAACCCTAAACCCTAAACCCTGGTAATCGGAAACCCCCAGTGGTGTATACCCAAGGATGAGGACATCCGTGCTGAGGGGATTTCTGTGATGCTCCTCTTTGGGGCTAAGGCCAGGCCTGGAAAGAAAAAGAAGAAAAAGAGACTTCGGGTTTGGGGGTTTAGGGTTTAGGGTTTAGGGCTTACGGCTTAGGGTTTGGGGGTTTTGGGATGATGATGATGATGATGATGATGGTGATTCCAGACTGTAAGGGTGTATAGAAGACCCGATACAAACCCAGAACCGTAAACCCGCCAAAAAACCCGAAGCCCAGACCCTAAACCCTAAACCCTAAACTCCAAAACCAAAAACCCGAAATCCTAAACCCCAAACCAAAAACCCGAAAGCCTCAACCCTAAAGCAAAGTTGGAGATGATCCCCCTCCGCAGCCGCGACTCTGAGCCGGGGGCGAAGCCCAGCGAGGAGGGCACCAGGTGCGTGAGGAGCCGCGCCTGGGTTCCCTTAAAGGAGCCCTTAAAGGAACCGTCAAGGGTTCTATAGGGGGTACCTATAGGGTTTAGGGTTGAGGGTTAAGGAATTTAGCTTGACTTACCACAATAGGGATCTAAGGTGATTGATATGGGTAGTTGTCAAGATGATGGTCCCTTTCAAACTACCCGAAATAATAGGTGCCGTATGAAAATAAGGACCCAAAAAGGGACCATAATTTTGACAACCAACCATATGGAATCGTTAGTATGGTAGCTTAAGTTAAACCCCTTAACAAGATCCCAGGTGCAGTCCAGGTGAAGCCCCGGTGTGCTCGGCGCCGAAGCAGGTCAAGGAGGTCAAGTGCCTGAAGAAGGTTCTAGAACCCTTAAGCCTAACTCCTGAGTACACTTACCACCAGGGTTTAGGGTTTAGGGTTTAGGGCCCATAAGCAAAAATGAAGATAAGAATCTCCCACAGAAATCCCCTCCAATTCGGCCCTGAACCCGAAACCCTCAACCCCTCAACCCTAAACACTAAAACCTCTAAACCCTAAACCCTAAGCCCTAAAAACCTCCAAACCCCAAACCCTAAGCCGCTTAGGGTTCAGAGACTTCTGTCTTAGGGTGCTTCTTTAGGCTTGTAGTGCAAACCCTGGGCCAGGTGAAACCTCGGTCTGGGGTTTAACAGAGGTGTAGGGTTTAGGGTTTAGGGTTTAGGGCTTTAGGGTTCAGGGTTTAGGGGTCTATGGGTTTGGGGTTTAGGGTTTAGGGTTTAGGGCTTTAGGGGTGTGTGGGTCTAGGCTTTAGGGCTTAGGGCTTTTTGGGGTCTAAGCGTACTCAAACCTTTCTAGAAGGGAACTATTTAGGGTTTAGGGTCCCTTCTTTTCTGAAACTACCACGTCTTGCGAAATTTCACTCCCACAGTTCTCCCCCTACTCGAAACTCAACTTTCGCTGATCCTGACATGAGGCCTACATCATTCGACTGGGGGTTCGGGGGTTCTCTCTGCTAGAAATGCTTTAAGGAGCCGTAGTACATAGTACTACGAAGCAAACCCTAAACCCCACACCCTAAGTTGCCTCGAAGAGATCGTCGAAGGGCTCATCGGAATCTGCAGCCAGTGCGAAGTTGACGGTGGCATTCGTAAGACCTTACGCGCCGGGTTTAGGGAACTACAATAAAAACAACCGTCTCAATCTTCCCTCGGAGCTTATTGCAGCTAAAATGGACTCTAAACCCAAAACCCCTAAGCCCTAAACCCCTAAACCCCAAACCCTAAACCCTAAACCCTAAACCCTAAACCGCAAAGCAGAAATAGAAAATCCTAAGAACACTCGAGAGACATGGCCGGGTGCAGAAGGGAGCTCCTCCTTGCATCGAGCAGGGAGGCTGCTGGCCCCAGAAGCCTGGGCTTACTTGGAGGTTCATGGGTAGTTAAAAGTGGGGTTAGGGTTTAGGGTTTAGGGTTTAGGGTTTAGGGTTTAGGGTTTAGGGTTTAGGGTTTAGGGTTTAGGGTTTAGGGTTTTGGGAGGTTCATGGGTAGTTATAAGTGGGGTTTTGGGGGTTCCTTTAAGGGTTCCTTTAAAGGGTTCTATAGGGTTTAGGGTTTAGGGGGTAGTTATAAGTGGGGTTATAGGTTCCTTTAAGGGTTCCTTTAAAGGGTTCTATAGGGT